GGGGGGGGGGGGGGGGGGGGGTCCTCTTTGCTGTGTGTCCAGTCCCTGATCTGTCCACTGTAGAGGATGTCCATGACAGAGGGATGGATTGTGGGTAAAGTGCTGGGATGATGGTCCCTTGGATTTTTTCCTTAAATTAAACATTTCAACACTTTTCTGCTCCGTTCCTTCAACCAGCTCTCAAAAGCACGACACGCAAACTCATTTTCCTTCACGAATATCCAACTTCCAGTTCCTCCGACTTTTCCTTTTCTCTCCACTCATCAACTTGTCTTCTGCCTTTATTTTTTAATTCTTTCATACTTGTTCCTCCCTTGCCCCTCGTCTCCTTCCTGCTCTGGTAGAAGACAAAACGTCACACAGATCCTCAGAAATTAGTCCGACCGGCTTCTCGGTGTCCGTGGGAACCAGGAAAACAAAAGCGGTGGCTGCGGTCCTTCTTGGGCTCTGCTCCACTGGTCGGTGCATGCAAGGACGAGGGGCAAAGGGTAGATGGGGTGCGAGGGGGGCCGAGTCCGACGGCAGGTCCTTATGGTTAAGTCCGAACGCCATCAGTCAAAAGTGAATGACTGCGAGTGAATCCGCTCCAGAAGGACGTCAGAATCCAGTCGACTGAATCTTGGGTTCTGCAGCACTCACTTCTCTTCCTGGAAGAGAATGAAGAAAAAAACACAAAACAACAGTTTGTAAGAAAAGAAATTAAAACCAAGTTGTCAGTCGTCAAATGCAAAATCAGACTCACCGTCTCCCGAGCCGCGATCCAGAGATGGCGTCCTGGAGACAGTTGCAGAGTGACACTGCTGGTCCTCTGACTCCTGATTGGCAGACAGCTCAGTGATGGTTTTCAAAAGCTTGTGATGAGCCTTTTCTATTTCCTATGGAAATACAGAAAGTCATACTTACATCAACAACTAGAACCACACTCAGTGGAGCACGGACCTCAGCCGAGGCCCAACAGGTCTCTTATGAAACCACAGTTTCACTCAGTAGATCTGGATTTATATCCAGATCCATGAGTTATTTTCTGAGAAATCAGGGAAGATTTTGAAAATCTCACAATGTCGATATCTACCCACCTTCAGCTGACGCAACTTGCTCATTAACCCCTCGATCGTGTGGAAGATCTCGTCCACGTTTCTGATCACGTTACTCTGCGGCCCGGTCTGTGATTGACCCGTTTCTTCTTCCTGTTCCAGTTGCGTAACCTCCGATTGGTTGCGCTCTGAACCACAGGCTGGCGCTTCCTCCTCCTCCGGCTGCATCTGCGGGGTCATCACTTCCTCCAGAGGCTGAGGGAAGTGGCTGGCGGTGGCAGAGTCGTTGAGGTCGTCGGCGACGCTCTCTCCCAGCTCGGTCGGCATTACCAAGTAGAAAGTGTTCCCTAAAGGAGAGAGACGCGACGAGGTGAGTGATTTCAGGGGGTTTAACTAAAACCAACCCGAAGACTTTAGATCATACTCAATATTTATTATCTTGCTTTTCTAAACGATATCAATATCTGATTAATCCACAGCTCGTGGCTGAGTCAGATCATTACCCTGCGTAGAAGCTTCGCCTCTCAGCTCGGACGATTGGTCGGAAGGGAGGGCGACATCATCAGTGATGCCATCAGGGACAGAAGAAGAAGAAGGGGGAGGACCCGCAACCACAGCTATGCACAGAGGACAGATGTGTGACAAAGGAAAAGAGAGTGTGGAAGTGGGGTGAAAGAACAGAGTGTGTAGGAGAGAGGGAAGAAGTTGATCAAGTGGCCAGTAAAGAAACAATTTGCCGTTGTGTTGAGGGCAAGCAGACAAAAAAAAACAGAGGGAGAAGATAAAAGTGTGTCAGAATAAAAATAGAACGATTCCCCGAGCCCAGAGGAAACATGCCGAGGAAGGAAGACGTCAGAATTCACCTTGAGAGCATAAAACCAAGTAAAGTCTCAATCTGATCCGTTACCTGTTCTTACCACCTGGATGCCGGGCGGGTCGGCGTCTGAGGCCGGAACCTCTTCAGGGTCGGCCTCCCAGTCGTTGGTGCTGAAGTTGAGGATGGTCTCCAAAGACTCCGGTCGCTGCCTTTCAGTGAGTGAGCTCCCCTCGTTGGCCGTCTCGTTGGTGGGTGTGTCATCCGAGTCATGGCTCCATCCGTCCTCCTCGAGGTCTCGTATTATGAGCCGCCGCAGTGTTTCAACTGGAGGTATGAAAACAACACACTCATTATTTCATTTCATGGAAACGCACTCAGTCCAGATATATTTTAAGTTTGTAGGGGAGATGCTGCACTTTCTGATTCCTCTTCTTACCGTCTTGTAAAGCCGCCTCGGCCACACCCACTGCTTGTCTTTCACCGCAGATGAAAGCTCCCGATTGGTCCATGGGTGTGTTGTCAGAGAGCGCCATGTCATTGGAGGAATGAGTCTCCATGGAAACTGACTGCTCCGTCATTGAGTTGTCTGGAAGATTCAAAACAGGTGAGAGAAACTAAATCTCTTTGTAGGTGACGCGGCTCGATTTTATCATTAAGGTGTTAATGTGGTTTTTACCTGCATAGACGTTGCTGCTGGTTGAAACTGGGGATGCACTGCGAGTGCTGGGAGAACTACAGAGAAAACCCACGAGCACAACGAGCACTTAGAAATCCCTCCAAGAGACCCGGGACATTTTTGAAGTTGAAAAGAAATCGAGCAGATGGAATGTACTCACGGTATCGGAATACATCCGTGATTGATCAGGGGTGACGAGCCGTCGGCCGATGAGACCGTTTTTTCAAGTAAATCTTTCCATCTGTAGAAGACAAAGAGACAAAGTCTGGTGAATGTACAGCAATACAAAAAAAAAAAGGATAATGTCAGCTCAAGAAAAGCTTACGTGTTTTTCTCTGAAGACGTCCCAGCCACCAGCTCGTAGATCTGCCTCTCGGTGGTGCTGATGATGTAGAGCGCTTTGTTGTCTGCGGAGGAAAGAGTGACAGAAGAAAGGAAGGATCTCTGTGAGTTAGCCAGGTTCGTTGGTTCCAAGTCTTTCTGCTTCAGAGGCTGAGACATAAAACCTTCTGATTGAATGTCCTCAGGTTTGAGGACAGATGTACCTGTGGCTACTGAGCGGACCAGCAGCGAGTCCAGCTTCACCAAGGGGCTGAAGGACGTCTTGCTGTCTCCGCTGCCTCCCACGCTGCCGCCACCCAGCCAGCGGGACGGATATCGCAGCTGCAGCCGGTCGTCTGGGCCCCTCTGAAGAAGGACCAGGCAGTCCGACAGCAGCAGCGCTTGGATCTCTGATGGAGAGAAAAAGAGACGTGTGACTAAAGGGTATGAAACCAAAGGAATGTGTTGGACAGGCACAGATACTGACCTATCTGCTTGTCTTTGCTCACTTTCCAGGTGAGCGGACCTTCATGGATCATTCTCTTTGTGGTCAGGTCCAAACTCTGGGAGGAAGAAGAGTGTAGAAACAACTTTAGATAAAAAAAACGACTGGCGAGCTTGAAAACAGAGTTAAAAGCGACTCTGTCACCTTGAATTGAGGGGCAGCATCCAGTCTGCGTTGGTATTGGCTGAGACGTTGCCTGTGTTCGGTTTCCCCGACGACCTCATTGACGACCTGCAGTATCCCTCGGCAACAAGCCTGGGCCCGCTGTAGTGAGGGGAGGTCTGACGAACCGGCTGAAGGAAAGACGGGAGTGGGAGTAAGTCTTAAAAATGAAGTCTCAGGGGTCTCAAAGATCACTCACCCCCGACCACGACTGAAACAACCCTCACCCTCTGTGTGCTTCACGATGTTGTCCAGCAGCAGAGGGTACTTGGTGATTCTCTGCATCTCTGACACCAGCAGGTCTTTGAGCTGCAGCCTTCGACAGTGTGGACTCGCCTCACACTCCTGAGTCAACGTGAAGCACGACAGCGTGTTTAACAACACGGAACAAACATGCAACTGTGGAACGTTTTGATTCTGTGTTTTCACGGATTTGATGAAAACAAATCAGGCAAGGAAAAGAGTGTGTGACAAAAAGGGACATTATTATATATATGTGTGTGTGTGTGTGTACGTGTGTGCGTGTACCTGGATGATGTGAGCGAAGCGAGGGTCTTTGCGTTTCTTGTTCTTGATGAGCTCCACCGCCTGAGACTGCTGACTGCACAGCTGCGACGCCTGCTCCTGAAACTCGTCTCCAGCTGCA